GACAGCCTGATCCTGTACGAGGAGGCCCTGAGCCTCTGCCTGGAGCAGGGTGGGGTGGGGGACGCCCCCGTCTGCCTGGTGTCCATCATCGGGGAGCAGCGCCGGGGAAAATCCTTCCTGATGAATTGCCTGCTGCGCCGGCTCCAGAGCCCGGTGAGTGGGGACAGGAGCCCCAGCTATGGCCCCATCGCCTGAACCAGAGACCCCACCCACCCCAGCCAAGGCCCTGCCCCTTGCAACACAAACCCCACCCACCTTAGCAAGGGCCCCCTCCCCCTCCACGACTGGCCATGCCCCCTACAGCAAAGGTCCCCTCTCCCCAGGCAGGGCCCTCCGGCTGTACCAGGCCCAGGGCAGAGCAACTGAGGCCCCACCCTGCAGCCATGGCCCTTCCCCGTGCACCAAAGGCCCCACCCTCTGGTCGTGGCCCCTCCCCCTGCAGCACAGGCCCCACCCTCCAGCCATGGCCCCTCCCCGTGTACCACTGGTCCCATCCTCCAGCTGTAACCCCACCCCCAGACCCTTAGAACTCCACCTCCTCCCCAGTGTCCCACCACCCTGCCCCCCGAGAACGCCAGACCCAATCCCCGTTCCCTTCTGACCTTGCCCTGGTCACCCCTACAGGAGGCTGTGGATGCGTCATGGATGGGCTGAGAGGACGACGCCCTGGGGGGGTTTGAGTGTCGCAATGGGACAGCGACCGTGACCAGGGGCGTGTGGATGTGGGACCAGCCCCTCTGGGTCCAGGCCCAGGGGAGGAGGGTGAGTGGGGCAGGGAAGCAGGCAGGGGAATGGGGGATGGGGCAGTAGGGGAGGGGAAAGAGAGTGGTGTGGGGGGAAGATTCTAAGGGGAGCAGGGGGCTGGAGTAGTGGGGAGGGGGGAGGGGAATGGGGGAGTCTGGAGGGGGTAAAGTCCTGTGCAGGGGGACGGGAGGGGCTGGAGGAGGGGGGAAAGAAATGGGCAGATGGGGATAAGGTCCCAGCCCTGTAGTTCCCTACAGACACACTGAGATGGAGTTGGGGGTGGGGGGTGTTCACAGCTTGAACCTCCTCCCCCAGGGCCTGTCTCCAGCCAGAGTGCCCAGGGCCGGCCCCAGGAAGCCGGGCAGCGGAGGAGCCAGGGGTGGGCAGGGGCGAGGGTGGCGTCAGTGCAGGGCACTCGTCGCTGTGGCTGGTGGATCTGTCCGTGTGTCTGTCCCTGCAGGTGGCCGTGTTCCTGGTGGACACCGAGGGCTCCCTGGACCTGCAGCGCCATATGGAGACCAGCATCAAGCTCTCCGTGTTGGGCATATTGCTCAGCTCCTACTGGGTGGGGGAGCCATGCTGCGGGGGTCGGGACTGAGGGCTCTGCAGGGGGTGCCGTGCTGTGGGGAGCGGGGTGAGGGGGCCAGCAGGGGGGCTGTGCTGCGGTGGGGTGAGGTGTGGGGTTGGCAGGGAGGCTCACCTTTTCTTATTATTATTTTCCAGATCTTTAACATTTCCAGTACATTTAAGCAGACGGAGGCAGATTATTTGGAGGTAGGTGGGGCAGAGGATACACACAGCTCTACTGACACGGACCTGCCAGCCAGGTCTTTGCTGGGGGGACCCAAGACCCTGGGTGATGTAGGGATTGGAGGGGGGCAGTAAGACCCTGGGTGATGTAGGGATTGGAGGGGGGCAGTCTAGAGGCTGTTATTGATGTTTAGAAAGTCCCAGAGATCTTGCCCCAGGCTGGGATTCGAGCAATGAGTCTGAACGGTGAGCAGTAATTAATCAAATATTAGTGACTGTCATATTTCTGGTTCTTTATCATTACCTGGTGGCTATTTGTCATTAACCGATTAGCTCTGGTTCTCACTGCTGAGTGCTGGACCTGCTGCGGGGCTGGTGGAGAAGAGACTTTTGTGTCCCGGTTCACTCCCCTAAGTGATCTGAAATGCTCCTGCAGACTCAGGTCTCCGGGAGGGTCAGGTAGCCTTGTGGTAGCTTTGGTGACCCAGAGCTGAGGTGGGTGGAACCAGGGCTGACGAGGGGGAGGGAACCGGTACAAATTACCGGGACCTGGCGGTCCGAAAGGGGGCCCGGGGCCCAGCGGTCCGGAAGGGGGTTTGGAGCCCTGTGACAATGCGGTTCTGGCGGAACCCAACTGAGAGCGCCAACTCAGGACAAATTGCTAAAACAGGGCAGTTACAGCCCAAGGCTGGGGTTTTTCCACCTCTAAGGCAAACCAAACCAGCCAGACTAGGAGGACTTCGGTCTCATCCCACTGGCTAACCGCAAGTCTCACAAGCAATCTCCTTAGACACTCCAGTTTCCCAGTATTACCACCAGTGCCACACGTTATGTAGGGTTACCATTCGTCCGGATTCCCCCGGACATGTCTGGCTTTTTCGGGTTAAAAATAGCGTCCGGGGGGAATTTGTCAATGCATACTTTGCTGAGTTACAAGGCGTATCTGCCTTCTCTCAATGGGTCCATTGTATAGCTGATGGTCCTTAATGGGCCATCAAGCAGGCTAGGCAGAGCTAATCTCAGCTTGTCTGGGATGTCACCCAGAAGCATAGCAT